ATCTCACAGTTCTGGATGCCAGAAATCCAAAATCAAGGTGCCAGCAGGGCTGTGCTCCCTCTGAAGGCTCTTGGGAAAAATCCTTCCCTGCCTCTTCCTAGCTCCTGGTGTTGCAGCAATGCTTATCCAATATGACCTGATCTTCATTGACTAATTATATCTGCAATGACCCTATTTCCAAATAAGGTCACATTCTGAGGTTCGGGGTGAATAGGGATTTGGGGGAACATTTATTCAACACACAACAGTGACTTCAGCCAATATGAGCTTGTCCAGGGTGGAGCCAGCTCAATGTTCCCTGGAGAGTGTTCAGGCCATGGTCCCTCAATACATGTTTTTGGTTGAAGGCGATAGTTACAGCGGTCACAGGCTAAGAGAGGGATCTGATCATACAATGTGCAAGGAAACAACAGTGAGTGCAAAACTGAACCTGTTTCAAGGTCTGAACCTCACTCTATGAAATTCATTTCCCTGAAGGACTCCTTAGTCATAAAACAAAGCAGAGAAGACTAACAAAATAACGTCACTTATTCTTACATCCTAAGCCTCTCCAACATTTTGCCACATTTGTTTTGGACCATATTTTAAAATGTTTCTTTGTTAAAAATTGATGCTTGAATACAGCAGAATTGGAGAAAAAGGAACAACTAGCAAGTGGGAAAGAAATGAAGAAGGGAAGTGTTAGTGTGCCTGGGATGGGGAGGGGATGGGGAGGGGGGTGTGAGGAAGAGGTAGCGGAGGCAGTGCGTAGAGATGAAGCCCTTCTCTTCTGATCACCCATAGTTCTAGCCCCCGCACCCCTCCTCCCCATCCGCCTGGAGTCCCACAATCTAGCTGCCATCATTCTTACCAACTCAGGCCTCCAACAAATTTAAGAGATTTTTTTCCCCCATTTCTATCCTTTTTCCTCAGTGACAGATAGATACTCTAGGAATACAAAGACAGGTCTGCTTTTTAAAAATGCCATTTCTTGTCCCCAAATGAATTTTAAACAAAAAAGGATTAACGGCATTAACTTTTCATTTTATATTTCATCTGTGCTTAAATTTTTGCTATGTCAACAAGGTATACCTTCCCATGAAGATTTTCCATTCCTTTTTAAAGAAGGCAAAGCAAGCGTCTCCTCTCTTTCAAATGTTCCCTGTGAAGGTGCCTCCTTCACTAGCCTGGGACCTGGAGGTGGCAGGAAACGGGGTGGGGTTGGGTCATGAAGTGGGGACAGCCACTGATATTAGTACAATATCCACTGCCTAAAGGAACGCCTGAAACTGGGCAGAGCCTATTAAGCCTGCATGAAATTGTCTAAAGATAGAATAGTGTCAGCTTGTTGGATTCTGACTAAGACTTAGGCATATTTTACTGACTTAAATTTATCTTTAATAAGATTTTGGACATTTAAGAGCAATATACTTTGCATTCACAGATTTTTTTTCCCCCCAAAATGAAAAGGTGACCTCTTTAAAAATAGTAATTCCTTAAATTCTTAACTTTGGCTCCCACCCTGAAATAACATAAATAAGACTGAATCCTGCTAGGAATAGAAATCAAGAGTAATAATTTTCAATAATATGACCTGATGAATTTAGTTTTACCTTCCACATACTCCTTTTGCTGGATTTCCAAGCTACACTAGTTTAGGAAATAGTATTCTAGGAAAAACAGTTTTATTTTCTTGGATGTTTTATTTTCTTTATATGTCTCTAAAACAACAGCTACAGAAGCAAACTAAAAATATTAACTCATCTTAAGGTCATCGGCAAAAGAAGAAAGGAGTCTGAGTACTGGAAAAATGATGTCAACATTATTATCTAGAAAATGCCTGAAAATACAGTCTTATCTTAAAACACAAAAAGGCACCCATAGCTCTAGTTGTCTACATGAAGATTAAAGGCAGAGGTCAAGAGAAGAGGCTTGCACCGGGCTAAGTGGCTAACGCTGTCCAAGGTACCTACACACTCCATGGGCCCTAGCAGGAAAGAATTTCAAGTAAGAAAGAAGGGAGAGGGAGAAGACAACTGGCATTTAAAAGTCAAATGATGTTGGCCATGTGGGTGACACTACATTTATTTCAGGGGAGCAAATTTAAGGAACCAACAGAGAGGAAAGCGTTGCCCTGTCAGCAGTTGGTGGCGGTTGTGTATTGTTTTAAGCACAGATCTGTCAGCAGTCTCCTATCTCATAACTTTGTATGTCCTCTCTGTGTGGTAGGGTGGGAATGGTCTGAAACCAGAGTCAGAATGTGGCTCAAGTCCTGGCTTCACGACTTACTACACAAGAGCTCACTGGGCTTACGATGCATATGAGAATCAACAATGTATCTGAAGTGGAATTTTTAGGCCCCTGGAAGACAGAGATTTTATGAATAATAACACTTACTTTAATTTTATTAAAAAATCTAGTCTCTACTGATGGTGCATCTCAAACCTCCCTAGAGTCCTTTCAGCAGTGGGTACAGAATGCTGGCCACTCCTACCCGCCATGACGCTTCCCTGTCGCATCCTCTCCATGTGAGGCACAATCTCACCTGATCCTTTAAGCCTTTTTGGGCCACACCTGGCCGTCAGCCATTTCTTCACCAGTTTTTCCTCCTGTACTGCCATGATCATAACACTAAAATGCCACTAGGCTGTTGTGCTGAGGCTCACTGGGTGAGTGCCATTTTTTCCACTCAGTTATGACTTTCTGCAGGGCAGAGGCTGCCCTGTCTCAGCCTCGTTAACCCCTTCTGGCAGGTGCTCAACAAAAGCTCCTGGGGTAAAACTGCTGCGTGGCAGAAGCAGCACAGGAGGTCATTTCTTTAATTTGAAAAAAGATCTTGGCTTTGTTGGAAAAACGAAAAGTGTAAATATACTTGCATACTAAAATCTAAAGTCTTCTATCATGATATGGACATCTGTGACTGTTCTGGTGTCACAGATGTCAATATGACAAACTAAACCAAATGGCATCACTTTTTGCTTCTTTTTTTTTCAGTCATTTTATTCTTTTAATAAGAAACTTTTGCTTACAAAAACAAGGTGTAAAAAGTCAAGATTTACAAAAATCATAGAAACATGATTTATATTTCACACTTGAGAGACAAAAACAAGTCCCAAACATGGATTTTAATGGAGGTGGTTTGCTTCATTTTAAAAGGTTAAAAAAAAAAAAAAGGAAACTGTAACCATACATTGATGTTAACATAGCATGAAATTTATTCTTGAAGAATTTATATTGTTGATGCTTCTTATTATGTGGTCACTCCTGGCCAGCGGCAGAAGCAGCAGCAAATGTTAAACTTCTGTACGTGTGAATAGAGAAGGACTCAGAGTTATTCTGGTCTCACTAAACCGCTCTGGCATTACAACCCAGACCCTAAATTCAGCCAGATGATGTATAAAGGGGACCCGTGAGCCAACACTGGTCTATCTTCTTCATCTACTTTTTTAATCAAAGGATGTCAAATGTACTTTCATAAAGGTGGTGGTCTACATCCTTTCAAAGACAAGGAAGAAATACTTATGCTATTATATTAATCAGACAGCATTTTAATGGACAGAGCTAGCCAGGTCCTTATTGACTATAATTGCTTCTGAGGCACTTCCTTCTGCAGTCTTCACTAGGGACCCTGACACTCTGAAAGCAGGGAATGCTAGGAAGGGAAAAATACTTTTAAATAGTTATAAATAAGTGAAATAGAAAAAAAATCAGACATGAGAGTTCAGAAGTGCCTACAATTTTAGCTTTGGAGGAGTTACACTTCTGGTTGGACATACGTTTTCTAATGGATAACAGAATTTAAGGGGTTATGAAATGGATGCCTCAGTAGGGGGTTTCAGAGAACTGTATATTTGGCATATGGTAGCACCTATCCAGAGAAATCATGTCAGATGTTCATGACTTCATGACTTGGATGAAAAGCAGAATTGTTAAGAAGATTCCCATTCCTGCCTATGAATGCATGTAGATACTCGTGGAGGCAGGCTCTTATCTTGCTCTGTGCACACACATTCACACAAACACACACCTTGCCTCTCAAGACTGGAGGCTGAGAGCATTGTGATGAATATTCATGAGATGATGATTATTAATGTGACTGAGGTGATTTTGTTCCTTCTCAGTACAGACTGGTTGTTATACCTAGAAACTGATCAACCATAGGCGAAATGGCAGCTTTGAACCATTCCAACCAAAGCAATCCTGTATGTTTTACTTTTGAAATATAGATTATTCAGCCAGGTATTTTTAATCACCCCTTTTGCCCCTATCCCATCAACTTCATCCAGCAGAGATTTCCAACTTTGGTACAAAATACAACACCCTCTGGAGCACAGCTTCTGAAGTTTAGAAGAATATTACATCTTGATAACTACTTTCCTTCCTAAGAGCAGAAATTAAACAAGACATAAAGTTGATTCTAAGAAATCTCAATAGATTCCTGAGGGATGGATAATTTTTGTGAAAATGCATCAGGAGAGAATTACAACACATTTGCAGCTTTTACTATTTTAAAAAACCATTTAATACAACAGGTCTTATTAAAGAGCTGTTTCTAAGAATTGTAGATTCTTGGAGAATTTTTAAAAGGAAAATATTTTTAAAAATAGCTACTTGTGACACTTAAGCAGATCCCTCTGTATCTGTTACGGACTGTGCCCAACCAGTCAGCCTGCCTGGTTGTTCTATATGCATGATATAACGTGAAAGTACGGAGAACTATTGTTTTCGGTCAAAGAAAATGACTTATTTTTGATTGGAATAAAAATGTTTGTTTTTCACCTTAGACCTAAGAAATCATGTGAAATAAGTCTAACATTGACTAGGTAGAGAAAAATACCTACATGACTTTATTACTGGGTTAGAAATATCTTTTACTAACTTCTTATATTCCATTGCCACATCAACATTCATCTTTTCAGAATGGTCTGATCCTCAGCAAAAGAGCCATTAAAGTTATGGAAAGAGACAGCGTCTGGCCAGGGGAAGACGGTAGGAGGAGGCACTCGTGACACAGGACTGACCTTAGGCACCCGGTGGCGTTACGCAGCACCTGTGATGAATGCAGCTGTATTTTCCGATCATCCTGAAGAGGCGAATTTTCCCAGCCTGAGTGGGGGATAATCACTGCGTTGGTCAGTACTGCCAGGGCATCCTGGATGATTGGCATTTTGAGTGCATCGCATGAGGAGAGGTTCCAGAGGACTCCTGCAAGAGACACACAAAAAAAGTTTTTGGGTGGCCATGAGTTTTTCTCATCACAAAACTGTCTTCCTTATTTGAGTTAATGACAGTGGCAGGAAGGATTAAGACACTGGACACACATCCTAAAGTTTTCCCTTAATTTTAGAACATTTGTGTGAACCCATTAAAGGCATTCTGCGAAAAATCTGATGAGTGAGCAGAGGAATTGCAACATTATTATCTTTATCTCCTCATGAAGCGTAATTAAGGTTGAGAGGTCTGATTGAACTGAGGCTATCAACATCGCTTCTGTTCCATTTTCATACAACGGACCCAAGTTGCTAAATGCTAACCAAGACCAAAGGGATGTGAAAGTTATTTGAAATGGACAACTAGAGCATCTTTGCCTTACCCAAGAACTCAGTGTGCACATTGATTGCTATGAAAGCTAAGTGCTTTCACAAACAACCAGCTACCATGGGTAGGACCTTATGAGAAGCCGGCATCAGGTCAGATGACAACTGGCTCAACAAACAATTTAAACTGTGGTCCCTTGTGACAGTTTTGTCGGCTTTTCTCTGAAAGCAATGCTCATGGAGGACCTACAGAATATTCCTCCTTAAATAATGACAAAGGGAGCAGTGGGAAGAAGAGGGCATGTCCACAATGAACAGAATGTCACAGTAATTCATGCAGGCAGAGCAAAGCCAAATGTTAAGGACAAATAGAACATTTTAGGCTTATAAATATTTTTTTAAATTGAGACATTCTAGAAAAGGTCATAAGCACTGCATATATATTACAACATCACTTGAAAATGCTTTTAAATAATTGTTCTTTTTTGCTTAGAACAGTATACATAAAGAGAAAAAGGAACAGAGAATAACATCCTATTTTTCTTTGAAAGAAGGCCTGTATACGTCCTCAACCTAAGCAGGTACCACCACTGCAGATATTGGAAATAAAATATTATAGTTGTCTTTAGAAATAGAACTTCTAGATCATGTGTTTAATAAGCTTTCAATACATTTTAATGAAATGAGATTTCGTTCCATCTACTGTGTTCTGAATAGAACAAACAGAACATATTTATTTCCAAAATTTGTTTTATTGGTTCCTTGCATTGCACATGTTGAACTATCCAAGGACATTAATAATACAAATCTGGCTGTTAATAACTAAGTAAGTGACCATAAAAATAAAGTGACTATAAAGTTCAATAAAACAAACTCAATTGTCTTTAGAAATAACATTTACTGGAAATTTTATTTAAGTGAATGCAAAGGAAACAAAATGATTTAGTGCCTGGCAGGCATAAAACCGTCCTTCAGTACAAGGGGTTAACTTCAAGGAAATCTAGTTTGTCTGTTTTTTTTTTTTTATGAATAAAGTTTAATTGAAGCACAGCCATGTCTGCTCATTTCTAAATTTTTTACATCTGCTTTTGTCCTATAAAGGAAAAGTTGGGTATTAGTGACAGAGACTATGCAGCCCACAAACCGTAAACAACTTACCAACTAGCCCCTTACAGAAAAATGTTGCTCACCCTTGCTTTAGTAAAGGTGACCATTTTCTATGCACTTCTGTTTGTGCTTGTGTTGCCGTCAGTATCATACATCGAGCACATAAAAAATCCTCAATGGTACACAGAAGGTGCTCAGCATATATTCTGATTTGGACTGAGTTGAAATACTAGGAATATTAACACATACATTTATTTCTTTTTAAATAAAATACAAAGCTGCTTATTCATCCATTGAGAGATATTTTACCAAATTTTGGTAATCTAAATAATCAAAATGACTTCCTTTATTTCCAGCTTCGCAAAAATGTTCTGTTTAGAGTAAAATAATTGATTTTATAGTTTCTAACAGTATATTAAAAAAATTAGTATCTATCATAGTATTTAAGAATAACTTTCAGGAATATCACATTAAGGCATTTGTGACTGCTCTTCTAAGTACACAATGCAAAAATACAGGAACAAAATGTGCATTTTTTTCATTCCCAAATCCAGACGTAAAATATCAATGCCTAAAAATTGAGGCTTGTATTTGTTTTAAAATATGGATGACATCTTTTGCTGTACAGTATATTTCCTTTAAAATCTAATTAGCAGCCTGGGCGTGAAGGCTCATGCTTGTAAGCCCAGCACTTTGGGAGGCTGCGGTGGGTGGATCATAAGGTCAAGAGTTTGAGACAAGCCTGGCCAACATGATGAAGCCCCATCTCTACTAAAAATACAAAAATTAGCTGGGCATAGTGGCAGGTGCCTGTAATCCCAGCTACATGGGAGGTTGGGGCAAGAGAATCGCTTGAACCCGGGAGGCAGAGGTTGCAGCATGCCACTGCACTCCAGCCTGGGTGACAGAGCAAGACTCCATCTTGGGTAAGCAAACAAACGAATAAAAATTAAGTAGCAAAAGAGAAAACTTTGCATTTTTACATGCAATGAATATAAGAGAATCTAAAGGCTTTCTAAGAGAATACAGCGATTTTTACTGTTTTCCTGCAAACAGAAAAGAGATAGGGAAAGGGAGGAAGGGAATCAAAGAAAACCTAAAGGCCAAATCTAATATCTGACAGAATGTGAAAGAACGGAAAGGCAGATGCAGTCTAAAATGTCTCTTTACAGGCTGTTCTATCTCCTTCACCTTTCCCATTAATTCATTAATCAGTGTAACCTAATTCAGAATTATGCACAAACAGAGGTTCACATTCATTCCACCTTTCCAGGCTGTCTCCATCTGCGAGTCACACTGCAATGAACTGATTGCAGTACTTGATCCGTATCTCTGAACCTTCTCTCTTAATTTATAACTGCAGTAGACAATGCTTCCTGAACTTATTACAACTGCAATGAATCTCCATCGAACAACTTTATCACCTCTGGATGAAGACTTGGCAAAGTGGATTTAATGTGGCAGATTTTCTTGAGGGGAAATTCAGCAAACTAGCAGCAGGGGGGTCCTTAAAATTTTGAGGTAGATTATCTGGACATTGGACAGGTTTAAGCATAGAAGCAGCAGTTTCTGGAGACAATTGAGATGAAGATTTACATCATCTGGCAGGAGTAAAAAGTGGGAAACAACTGGGAATTCCACATCTTTCCTGCTACACACACACACGCACGCACATGCACACGCACATGCACACACACACACCCCCATTAGTCTTGACTGATGGGAGAGAGATTAGTGGAGAGAATCAGACATATCTAGGCATCCTTTGAACAAACGGAAAATAAATGTTTTGCTCAAACTTTTACTTCACTCTCCCTCCCCTTTTCCATAGTGGTCTAAGATATGTCCACAAATTCTTGGATGTTTCCTTCAAATGGTGGAACTTAGTCCTTCTCTCCATGAATCAGGATTAGACTTAGTGACTCATTTGTGACCAATGAAATATGGTGGAAGTGAGCGTGACTTGAGACTAGGTCATTGAAAAGGTACTGCGGCTCCCTCCAAGCTCTCTCTTGGATTGTTATTTGAGGGGAAGCCAACTGTCGTGCCATGATGACCCTTGAGCAAACTTACAGAGAGACCAGCATGGCAAAGAACCAGGACTTTCAGCCAAAATTTTGGAAGTGGATTTTCCAGCCCCAACCAAGCCTTTGGATGACCACAACCTCCCGAGAGATGCTGAGCCAGGACCGCCCGAATCTGTGGCTCCTTCTTGCCCTCCTCACACTTAGACAGTGGGTGACACATATGTTAGTTGTTTTAAGTTGCTAAATTTTGGAGTAATTTGTTATGCAGCAACAGACAACATACCTTTCCTTTCCTACCAGGCTCCCACTCTCTCTCTCTCTGTTGCTTTCTTCTCTGGTTCACCTTCCTCTCCCTTTGCCTTTCTACAACGGATGGGCTCATTTTTCCCTCTTGCCTCCCTATGACACTTTAATTCTACTTACTCCTCTCTCACCTAAATCCACTTGTTCGCTTACTCCTTCCAAATTCCAGTGTGAGAGTATACAAGCTACAGCAAGGATGATCCAGCTACACTTTGCAACTAAATTTAAAATGCATTTTAAGTGATTAATATTGATTTTTAAAAAATGTATCATTCTTCGTGTTTGCAATTCAATAATTGATCAAATCCTTTCCTTTGGAATAATTCTGCTCTTATTTCCAATTGCCACTTTTAAAAAATCACCACATAGGGGCTTGAAAAACACAACTTAATTCTCTGACAGGTTCTGGAGGCCTAGAGTCTGACATGGGCTGGCAGGTCTGGGTCCTTCCAAAGGATCCCAGGGAAGATGTGTTTCCTCATAATTTCAAGCTCCTGGGGATTGCTTCGAATTCCTTAGCTTGAGATCTTACATCTCTCTGACTTTGGCTTCCATCATCATATCTCCTTCCTCACGCTGACCCTCCCTCCTCCCTCTCATAAAGGCACTTCTGATCACATGGAACCCATTTGGATAGAATCTCCCCATCTGAAGCCCACCTACCTGAATCCTACCTGCAAAGTCCCTTTCACCATGAAAGGTAACACTTACAGGCTCTGGGAATTAAGATGTGGGCTTTTGTTTTGGAGGGTAGGGGCATTATTCAGTCTACTACAAATCCCCTCAAAAAGTAACCTGTTATGCTTAAAAGAAAATTAAACTTATGGAAGCCTCATGATCAGGCCTTTCTCTAAATCTCTCCATTCATCTTGAGTCAGATTCATTCATTCATTTGTCCATTCCATAATATTAAGGACCTACTACATGAACAGTTCTGTTTGATGCAGAGTGGAGACATCTGTGAAGAAAACAAACGAACAAAAAGTCCCTGTGCTTGTGGCCTAGGTATCATAGAGCTCTTGTCGCTATGTTTCAGCCGTAATGGCCTGTTACTTCTGGGACACACAAGCGCCTTTGTGTCCTAGATCCCTGGACTTGCTGCTGTCTCATTCTGGAAGATTCTTTCCTAGATCTTTTCATGGCGAATCCTTCTTCCATTCACATCACCTTACATGTGCTAAACTCAGAGAGGCTTTCCTGGATCAGTCTAATCCACCTTCCCAGACGCCTG